ACATGAACTTGGAGATGTCTACGGACAACGCTGGCTCTTTGGCTTAGAAATGGAGATGAGCACCAACCCTCAGAGTTGGACACGACTGGACTTAATGTCAGGAGAAAACCTTTACCTTTACCTTAGCGCTAAGAACCCGTTTTGGATTTTGCCAAGGTGGAAAGGGATGTTCTGATGGGTGGTCCTTAGCAACAAGTTGTCATCCCTGTTTACAGAAGTGCATAATAACTCCTTCCCTTTGCAAATTTCTTTTTTAAAAAATCATTAATGACAGATATAAAAATTGTAGAACAGAGAACAGGCATTTTCCTTTGATGGTTTGTTCCAATTATAATATTGCACTTAGCAGAGAGCTGTCATCCCTGTTTATAGAATCACATGATTACTCCTTCCTATGGAAAGAAATGGTTTAAAAACAGCATCCCTGTCACAAGGATCCAATGGGTTTTGATGCAGAACTATTTCATCCCATGGAAAGCAATGGTTGAAGACAGCATCCCTGTCTCAAATGCTCAATGGGTTTAAATACAGAACTATTGCATCCCATGGAAAGGGATTCTGGCAGATTTATTTGCATGAAGAAAAAAATCCTGGGGTGGAGTCGTATTACCTATGCGTGATGAGGAAGACAGTGGGTGCCTATGGGGAAGCACTGAAAGTCTGATGAGAGGAATGAAAATGACCAAGGGAGGACTGAAAGGTATGAACAGCTCCCCATTCTTCTCTTAACTTAACTTAACAGTGCCTCTCAATACTGCCATCTGACAAGGTCCTCAGTGAGATAGTCATTGAAAAACTACAGCAAAATGTCCTGCAGGATGTCCTGCGAAAATTGATTTGTTTGCAGTTTAATAAACTTTTTCCATGTTTTTCTTATATAACCAATTTGGAAATTATATTTATAACCCAGGAACAAAAACCATGTTACATAGTGTAACCCAAGAGCTATATCAGAGTGAAGAAAGGAAAAATACCACTGTCCCTTTAAATATTTCCAGATATTTGGTCAGAGGTGGAGATGGGCTGGAGAAAAGTGTTATTAAGATGTTGACAGCCAAGCATTATTCATTATTTTAAAAGGCTTAAATGTACCACTTAAAAGGAAGAGGAAAGGAAAGGAGCCACAGGCGTCAGTTTGGAAATGTACCACTTAAAAGGAAGAGGAAAGGAAATGAGACACAGGCGTCAGTTTGGAACATGCTCCTGATCTGCATCAGGACTGTGTGCCATTTTCATGGCAAACATTATGCCAATTTGACTTTGTATTTGTCCTCAAACGTGTTTGCAGTAAGCAAAACACTCCGGCTTGTCAGCATGTTCGATATCAGGCACAATGTTTTTGCTTTCCCTTCCTCATAAAATAAGGTATCTTGAGTGTATTCATTTCTTAAAAAGCAAAATTGGGATTTAGAATTGGTTGTATAATCTATATAAATAAAAATGTAATGTTTGTTTGTGGGATTAACATAACTCAAAAACCACTGGATGAGCTGACACCAAATTTGGGCACAATACACCTATCAGGGCACAATGGGTGACCATCACTCATAAAAACACTGAAAAACACAGCAGAAGAGACTTAAAAAGCCAAAAAACAAAAATTACATTACAACACATGCGCAAAAGCACATATATACATATACACAAATATATACACACAAAACACACATACACAGACTGGGCCACAGCAATGCATGGCAGGGGACAGCTAGTATAAATATAAAACATCAGCTGTTAATTTGTGCTTAACACGTGATTCACACAAATGATCTTCTTGCACGAGCAGAGTCACGAAGGAACTCCGAATTCCCATAAATCATGGCTCTTTTTTATTCTATTTTTCCTAAAAATTAAAATGTGTGTGTTCTTTCCACTTTTTCTTGTTCTACAAAATTACTCGCATCAGCAAATTTAATATATTTTGGATAGTCACCAGGCGAAAATGGACCTTTGTTCTGCAGCAACAAGAACAACCTGTTTGATCAGCTTCCCCCAGCTTTGCACCCTTAGACATTGTTTGTATTTTTCCATCTGAGTTATCTTACATACACAAAAGAATGAGTGTGAGTTCAACCAACTGGTCTGCTTGAATTTCTTCCTACTGCCCTCTGTTTGAATATCCGTATATAAACATGAAGAGACTTAATTTATCTATTACTGGTGTTTCACACTGGCAACGAAGGTCCACATAGTTAAAGCAGTGGTATTCCCTGTAGTAACCTATGGATGAAAGAGCTGGCAGGGGTAGGGAACCTTCGGCCCTCCAGGTGTGGTGGACTTCAACTCCCACAATTCCTTGAGGCTCGGCATTCGCCCCCAAAGGCTTACCTTGGCCCATAGGAATTTGTGGGTAGTTAAGTCGGCTCCTACAGGGCAAAGAAATCTGGAAAAAAAGGAAGGGTTGCCTGGAGGGGCCTGAAGGTTCCGCTTAACCACATAGACATAAAGAATAGCTGAGGGGCGTGCCTAGTCTCCGGCAACAGATAAACAAGCTTGCTCTCGCTCCTCCGCTATGACATGACTCATGGTCATCATGTCTCATCTGAACCTTCTCTTCTGCAGGTGAAACATGCCCAGCTCTTTAAGCCACTCCTCGTAGGACTTGTTCTCCAGACCCTTGATCATTTTACTCACCTTCCTCTAGACACATTCCAGCTTTACAACATCTCCCTTAAATTGCGGTGCCCAGAATTGGACACAATATTCCAGGAGTTGCATGTAATATTTTTAACATTTAAGAAACTAATGTGAGTTATTTCTTTGATTTTGGCAATAGGTTCTATTAGTGCACACAGTTGAGAGCAATGCATCATATATGGATTAAATATGCAAAATACATTAATTACTCAGACTATTGTTCACAGCTATTATCATTTACGTGACCACATCTCTCCCTATGAACCTGGCGTGGACCTTAAGACCAGCTGGGGAGGCCCTCCTCTGGATCCCATCTCCTCACAAGCGAGATTGGTGGAGACGAGCGAGAGGGCCTTCTCAGTTGTGGCTCCCTGACTCTGGAATGCCCTCCCCAAGAAAATAAGACAAGTACTTACTATTTTAACATTCAGGAAGAGATTTAAAACCTGGCTATTTAAGCAAGCTTTTCATAATGGCTAGAGTATTACGTAATTATCGGACAGGACCTGAATGACTCTTAGTACATAATGCTGGGTATTCTGACAAATGTTGTTTATATTTTAAATTGTTTTTAGATGACAAATATCTTTTAAATCGTTATTTATTAATGTTTTTATTAGTTTGTAATTTTAATTTTATGCAGTGATAATTGTTTACTGTTGTTTGTTTATTGTTTATATTACTTTCTGTATCTGTGAATTGTTGTAAGCTACCCTGAGTATTTTTGGGGAGAGAGGTGGTGTATAAATAAAGATTATTATTATTATTATTATTATTATTATTATTATTATTATTATTATTATATTGACACAAAAACACAGTATGAGATCTATATGCTGGATTTCGTATCACAAAATCACAAGTTGAACACTTTCCAAGCATCTAGGATCGTGTGATGTATTTTTGAATGATACGCGCAGATCCAAGTAAGGTGGCCTTTTTCAGTTGACAGATCGTGATTTTGTCAATGTTTATTGTTTCCAAATGCCGGCTGAGATCTTTTGACACGGCACCCAGTGTGCCCATTACCACTGGGACCACCTGTACTGGGTGCCACCTTGTCGTGGTGGGGGCTTAACTGCTCCAAGGATACTGAGAACTGTAGTGTAAACACCAGCAGGTTCAACCAAGTCAGAGAGGTCTCAGCTGAGGAGTAGAATTAAGAGCACCTAATCCATTGGCACTATGAAGAAACAAACCAAATTGAAGTCTATACTGGCTCGATCAATGCCCAGGATAAAAAGGACCGCGGTGGATACTGCTGATTCTGGACATCCATCGACAAGTGGGATACAAAATCAAAATACAAATGAACAATCACAGAAGCGGCAGAAATGTACAATGCCAGAAAACCACATTATTATTATTATTATTATTATTATTATTATTATTATTATTATTACAACTATTATTCCATTTATTTCTCCTTTGTGATTTTCTTTCCAAGGCAGGTAATGTGGTGACAGGAGAAATGGTGGAAGAACTTCTTCTGGCTGGAGCAGACATTATCAAAGTAGGAATTGGGCCTGGTAAGCTGTTCTGGAGCGCATCCACCCTTATTTCTAAATGTGTGTGCTTTTTAATGTAGGTATTTGTTGTGATGCATGCACTCACAAATGCTCTAATCATATTAGGTTCCTAGTGAACCTGGAGACTCAGTAAAGAGAGCCAATGTGATCTAATAGTGGAGACAAGGTTTGAAATCTTCACTTGGTCATGGAAACCCACTGGGTGACCTTAGACACATCACACTCTCTCAGCCTCAGAGGAAGGCAAAGGCAAATTGCCTCTGAACAAATGCCAAGAAAACCCTGTGACAGGCCCATCTTAGGGTCATCATAAGTAAAACAACAACAGCAACACAGGCCTGGAGAATAAGCAGGGAAAACCAATAAGTAAGTATCATATATCATGCTGCTGCTGTTGCTGCAGTCTGACATCATATGCTATAATCACATTGCTGCTTTTTCCATTCAGATCTGAGCAACAGATTTGTGTAGTAAGCAAAAAGAAGGAAGACACATTAGAAGAATGAGGGTTATTAGTAGAAGCTCTTGCAAAATTAAGTGATAGTGTGATCAAGGTCTCAACTACTCTCAGAAACAAAAACTCTTTCACTCCCCCGTGTCCTTTCCATTTTTAGGCTGAAGGTTGCAGGCCGATACATATGATTCCATACTGACCAGAGAGCCCACTGTGGCAAACTGGAATAACTCTGATCTCTTCTGGTTACTTAGAAACGTATTCAGCTAAGCAGAAAAACAAGCCTGAAGCCACGGTGCATTTTAGGTGGATATACGCTCAATATTTCCAATATATTAAAACTATAATTAAGAGATTAAGTTGGCTGGAGGATTGGATGCTTGTTCACTCTTGCTTTCCTTTGTGAATAAGTACTCTCTACCCTTTCATTGCTGACTGTGTAACTCATTTTGTTAATAGGGATGTTAAGTGCAGTTAATACTTAGCAGGTACCTTTGCAACCTGGATTTTAAATGTTCCTGAGAGAAGGTACCAATTAGTATTAGCCACAGATAGTGCTGGAAGAAAGGCAGGATATAAAGTACATACATGCCTACATAGGTAAAGGTAAAGGTTGCCCCTGACATTAAGTCCAGCCGTGTCCGACTCTGGGGTGTGGTGCTCATCTCCATTTCTAAGCTGAAGAGCCGGCATTGTCCATAGACATCTCCAAGGTCAACAAACTCAACAGCTCAGTGCTTTAACCCACTGCGCCACCAGGGGCTCCACATGCCTACATACAACATAATAAATTACATTATATATGCATAACATATTAAAAATGTTATGTCCTACCATAGTAAAGAGAGGCAGAGTGATTTTGTACAAGGTAATAGAACTCTCAGTCTCGTCTGGCCTCCTTCCGGAGACTTATGAAGATACAAGTCCAACTTATGGCTATTTTTGGATTATTGCAGAGGTCTCCATTCTCTGCCAAGCTCATGTGGTGGCCCAAGTTCCCTGTCAAAAAGCTTTGCTGCAGTCCTTACCTCCAGTATGGACACTTATTGACCAATGGATGGCAGCGGAGGGGGGGGGGATCCAGCTGTCTTCCTATAGTTCAGTGGTTCTCAACCTGGGGTCCCCAGATGTTTTTGGCCTACAACTCCCAGAAATCCTAGCCAGTTTACCAGCTGTTAGGATTTCTGGGAATTGAAGGCCAAAACATCTGGGGACCCCAGGTTGAGAACCACTGCATAAGTTAGAGGCACAGCAAGGATGTCATACTTTGGGACCTCTGGAAGCCCCCTGTGATGCGCCTTAGCAGTGTGTCCACCTACAGCAGAGGTAGGGAACGTTTGGCCCGGGGATCACATGCAGCCCCTAATAATAATAATTTATTTATTTATTTATTTATTTGACTAGTCAGGTCACCATTTCAAAATACAACACGAATAAAATACAAGGCAAAAAGGAGGGGACAGCAGCTGACCTATTTTCATGCAACCCCCAAGATCATTTGGTCTGGCCCTTTTCCTTTCACCAAATACTAACTAACTACTTGTCTCAGAGCTGGTGCCTTTAACAATCTGCGCAAAAATTGAATCTCAGGTGAAGATTAAGGAAATCATAGTACACATAAAAGACCTCAGGAGTTCATAGAATCATGGAATCAGAGTTGGAAAAGACCTCATGGGCCATCCAGTCCAACCACCCACCAAGTAGCTGGAAAATGGCATTCAAAGCATCCCCGACAGATGGCCATCCAGCCTTTGTTTAAAAGCCTCCAAAGAAGGAGCCTCCACCACACTCTGGGGCAGAGAGTTCCACTGCTGAACAGCTCTCACAGTTAGGAAGTTCTTCCTAATGTTCAGGTGGAATCTCCTTTACTGTAGTTTGAAGCCATTGTTCCGTATCTTGGTCTCCAGAGTGGCAGAAAACAAGTTGCTCCCTCCTCCCTATGACTTCCCCTCACATATTAAAACATATCTATCATGTCTCCTCTCAGCCTTCTCTTCTGCAGGCTAAACATGCCCAGCTCTTTAAGCCGTTCTTCATTGGGCTTGTTCTCCAGACCCTTGATCATTTTAGTTGCTCTCCTCTGGGCACACTCCAGCTTGTCAACATCTCCCTTAAATTGCGATGCCCAGAATTGGACACAATATTCCAGGTGTGGTATTGATGATACAAACATTGGATATGTTCCAAATCTAAGAATACAGGATTAGAACAGCAACTAAAGCAAAATAATTTGCACCCAAGACCAGCAAGCCATGTTGTTGTGGATGAAGGAGTATCTTTGATGGCCTCCCTGTCTAGGGACCAGGGTTCAGCTGCCTGGTGTGTGTGTCTGCTGAGGCAGGTTACATGGGGAAGGTGGGGCCAGAGGTTTTTTAAGTACTGGCTGACCTCCTCTAGCCCTCTTTAAGCTCTTTTCGAGCTGGATCAAGGAGATTGCTGCATTGCATAGGATCCATGGCTGTGATTTGTGCAGATCCTTTTTGCCTGCTTTATTGTGAGTGCAAAGTTGATACGGGTGTAAAAGTGGACTGTTGAATTGGGAAGATGCTATTTTTGGACTAGGTCTTTTCCTTGCTTGCTACTTATTTCTCCCTTTTCCTAGTGACAATAGGGTTCTAACTGCTATGCCTTTGCTTCTCAGGCATTTATCCTACAATTTGGGCTTTTTCTGCCCATGGTGTTTTCAGGATGAATTTCCCAGCAGGGCATAATGCAAAGGTGGGGAACATCCGGCCCACAGGCTGTATAAGGTCCATGAAATCATTTGGTCTAGTCTGGGGTGAGGAAGGGCATCTACCCCAGTCTGCTGACTTAACCTAGCTCCTGTTGCTTCTAGCCACAACACTGACTCTTCTGTGGGCCAGGTGATGCTTACTATTCAGACCTAAACTGCTTCTGGGTTCCTCTCCTTGTGCAACCACATTTTGCTTCTTCCACTCTTGTTTTTGCTGTCTGAGCTGAAGCAGGCAACTTGTGGCACACAATCTTTGGAACTTTAATTTGAATTTCAAAATATAATTGTATCATTTATAATAATATAATATAGCCCCTACCCTAGAAACCTAGTGTGAGGATGTAAATGAATAGATTTACATCCTCACACTAGTGTTCAGCCTCAATGTTTTTTTTTTTGTTTTTTTTGTTTTTGTCATTGGAGTACATCCCCCCTTTGTGGGAAAGCTTGGTACCACAACCTCCACTATAATGAGCTCTCCTCTGCAAATAATCTGTTTCTGTTTTATCTCGCCTGAGTTTTTAATCAGCTTTTATTCAGCCTTTCTTTTATCTATTACATGTAGCTCGCCCGTTGTCATTGTGATGATTGTAATTTTATATTGCCATGTTTTCATTTGTTTTATGTAATGACGTTATTGTTTATTATTTGCGTTTTCGGTTTTATTTTATGTAATTATTGTTTGGGCTTGGCCTCATGTAAGCCGCTCCAAGTCCCCATTGGGGAGATGGTGGCGGGGTACAAATAAAGTTTATTATTATAATAATATATAAGGGCCCCCTGGTGGCACAGCTGGTAAAACTGCTGAGCTGCTGAACTTGTTGATGGTTTGAATCTGGGGAGTGGGATGAGCTCCTGCTGTTAGGCCCAGCTTCCGCCAACATAGCAATTTGAAAACATGCAAATGTAAGTAGATCTTTAGGTACTGCTCCGGTGGGAAAGTAATGGCACTCCATGCAGTCATGCCGGCCACATGACCTTGGAAGTGTCTACAGACAACGCCGGCTCTTTGGCATAGAATGGAGATGAGCACCACCCCCCAGAGTTGGATACAACTAGACTTAATGTCAGGGGAAACCTTTATTTTTTACTTTTATCATTGTTTATTTATAATGTATAAATGAATGATGGTGTGGTATGCAAATGATGTTATATATGTTATATATGTCCAAATGGCCCTTGACAGAAAAAAGGATTCCCCACCCCTGACTTACTGGAACATAGTTTGACCCTCCTACCCAACTCCTCTCTCCATCAGCCAGTAATTGTTCTGGGATTCTGCAGCAAATAAAATATGGGCTTGGTGGAAGTGATTAGGAAACACTCATTTCGGGAAAGTAGTGAATGTGGAAATGATCTTGGAAGCTGCAAAAATGCTAACAGTTTTAATAATATCTGAATGTCTTAATTCACAAGAAGTAATAGCTCCATTTTATTCCACAGTTGTCAGACATCATACTGAAAATTGTACCCAATGCTTCACATTGCCTTTTAAGAATGATGTAGATAAATTAAGAATGGTATACCAGTAGTTAAAGGTGGGCCTAATAAAGGTGTCATCACAATATGTACTTTGAATGTTTTATTATTGTCAACATAACTATCCTTGCGTCTTACTTAGTGTCTTTGTTTCTTTGCCTGTTTTCAACACCTAGGATCTGTGTGTACTACTCGGATAAAAACTGGAGTGGGTTATCCACAGTTGAGTGCGGTGATTGAATGTGCAGACTCTGCCCACGGACTGAATGGGCATATTATCTCAGTAAGTAGGATCTGTGTCAAATTGCACAATGCTAACAAGTAGAAGGCAGGGGTAACTTTTCAGAAATTGAGCCTGCAGTTTAAAAGACTGCAGGAGATTTTGTAAGGTCTGAATCAGGAATTTCCACCAGATAGTAGTTCCTTGAATTGTGCCTGGCAAAAGTCTTCAGCAGAGTAGACAAAATATGCTCCTCTACTGCTGTTTCCTTAGCCCTCGTGCTGATTTGTTTGTTTGTTTGTTTGTTTGCAGAATTTATATTTTGTCCTCACCCCACAGGGGACTCAGGGCAGATTACAATGTACATATGCATGGTAAACATTCAATGCCATATAGTCACAACATATATAGACAGACACTCAGTGGCTATTTAACATTCCAGTTTCTGGCCATCAGGGGAGCTGTCGCTTCCTCATTCTTTGCATACTTCCTGGAGATTTTTATGGCCTCGTAAATCAGTTAAATTAGCCTCCCCACATAAGTGGTGCCTAATTTTCCTACTTGACAGATGCAACTGTCTTTCAGGCTGAAAAGGTCGACAACAAGCTACACAATTTTGGTCAGGAAGCTCACTCTGACCCAGGCTGGCTTCGAACTCATGACCTTTTGATCAGTAGTGATCTTACTGCAGCTGACTCCCAGCCAGCTGCGCCACAGTCCTGGTGTTTTTTGAAGCTCCCTGACAAAGGATTAATTTGACATATATGGAAGCCTCCAGAAGTGAAACTTCACATTTGAAATAAATCACCCATCCTGTATCAGAAACTAGAACTGATGTGGTTTATCCAATGCAATTTTTTGAATCAGCACCCCAAATAACCAAACCGAATCTAAAGTTGACCAAAATCTGATTCGTAACTCTTTTGGTACTAATGTTGGAGAGTGGTACCTGGTCAAAATGGTCCCTGGTCAAAAAAAGGTTGGGAACCACTGATCTAAACTATCATGGATCATGTAATGTTGACATTCAATAACTCATCCCCTTTTTATGCCAAGATCATCACCAGAATGGTCTTCAATATATTACAGTAGTCAAGCTTGAACTCCATGGACAGTAACATGGTTTCCATCATCCATAAGAATTTCATCTTCTTCATGAGTAAATCCATTCACCCAGGAACCAGTTTTGTGGGGTTGTACCTTATGTTAAGCCAAAGAAACAGAACAGGGAGACTGCTGGTATACTCCCTGCCCTGCTTCCCAGCGGTCTAATTGTATAAGCTGGTGGAGCTGGTTTCACAATTTGTGTTGGAAAATCCTAGGGGGATTTCAATATACACACTGAGGCTGTCTTGATGCGGCCAGTTTAGGACTTCATAACATTTTTTCGTGTCAGGAGCGACAAGAGAATTGGCAGTCTGCAGGGACATTGTCCAGGGGACGCCCAGATGTTTGGATGTTTTACCATCCTTGTGGGAGGCTTCTCTCATGTCACCGCATGGGGAACTGGATCATCCATGCTCTCCCCAGATTCGAACCTCTGACCTGTCGATCTGGCACAAGGGTTTAACCATTGCGCCACCGGGTGCTCCATTTCATGGCTACCATGACATCTATGGAGCTGTCTCAGCCCCTTGGTTGGTCCAACGCAGGAAGCAGAGCATACCCAAGATTTGTTTTTTGCCCTCAAATGGAGAATAATCTGATTTTAGAGGGGATTTCAACAACCTCGTTGTCATGGGCAGATCATTTCCTTGTGAACTTATTTGGTAGTGGCAAATCTCCTTACCCTTAGAGATTTAGGGAATCTGACAGATTCCTGAATGCTCTGGCTGAAAGAGCAGGCATTTCTATTGAGGACTTAGTTTTACGAGAGCTGGCAAGTACTATTGATACATGCATTCCTACGTTCCTAATTCCATGTTGTGATCTGTAATATATTTTGATTTACATAAGACCTGTGGGCAGTGAAGCAGGCTGGGCAACAGCTAGAGTGCATGTAGCATAGTTCCTGGAGGGAATCTGACCAGAAATCAGGAAGGTTTTTTCACAGTGTCTACTGTGCAGCAATGAGGCAGGCCAAACAAAAATCATATTACACCTCTGGGTTGCATTTTCAATCTCCTACACAGTAGGACTTTTCAGTAGGACATGATCTCTAAGGTTTCTTTTTTCAGAGGTAACCCTAAGAGGTAGCCCCTGGTGGCGCAGTGGATTAAAGTACTTAGCTGCTGAACTTGTTGACTGAAAGGTCACAGGTTCGAATCAGGAGAGCAGCATGAGCTCCCGCTGTCAGCCCCAGCTTCTGCCAACCTAGCAGTTCGAAAACATGCAAATGTGAGTAGATCAATAGATACTGCTCCGGCGGGAAGGTAACGGCGCTCCATGCAGTCATACTGGCCACATGACCTTGGAGGTGTATACGGACAACGTCGGCTCTTCGGCTTAGAAATTGAGATGAGCACCAACCCTCAGAGTTGGACACGACTGGACTTAATGTCAGGGGAAAACCTTTACCTTTAGCCTAACCCTAAGATGGACCTGCTACAGGATTGTCTTGGCAATATCTCCTCAAAGAGGGTTTGCCTTAGCCTTCCTCTGAGGTTGAGAGAATGTGACTTGAGCAAGGTCACCGAGTGAGTATCCATGGCCAAGTGGAGATTCAAAATCCTGGTTTCCAGAGCCACAGTCCCAATAGTCAAACCACCACACCATGCTAGCACTCTTTAACTAAATGCAAATTATAATGACAAATGCACACTCAATAGATGCTTTGACGAAGAGGCAAATATAGGGATGTGCGAAACAGCAGAAATCCATTCTTTTTTTGTTTCGAATTTCAGGTGCCTCTCGTTCTGTTTTTGGGAAGATTCTGGGAGATCAGGATGGAGGCTGTTTGGATTTGTAATTCAGGATCTGGAGTTTCCTTTTCTGTTATGGGAAGAATCTTTCCAAAAACAGAAACGGGGGATGGGAGGTGGGGAGATGACCTGAAATTCGAAATCCTGCCATTTTGCACCCCCCTAGCGATTAACACATTCTTGTTCCATACAGATCTGTGTATATATGAAACTGCTTTTAGCATAAATGAATAAAGTTGGGTGATTACTGACTTTCCCTTTTCTCCCTCTTTTCTCTAGGATGGGGGATGTAGCTGTCCAGGAGATGTTGCCAAGGCTTTTGGTGAGTATATTGGTTAGGCAAGGAGTGCAAAAATCATTGCAGTCTTTTGTGGCATAGTTTCTGGATTCATATTAATTAATTTAACTATTCTCTTTGAAATATTACCTATTTCAATTGCCTATTCTCTTTGAAATATCTCTGATGGGTTGCTCAAATTACACTTTAGGCCAGGGGTGACAATCATGCAACCTTCCATATGTTGTGGGACATCAGCACTAGTGAAGAGTAATTCTGGGATTTACTACCTGTACACATCTGGAAGGGCTTTGCAATATCCACCCCTTTTCTAGGCTTATGTAGGATCAGTTTTATTTGGGTTTCTAACATCTAACAGTTTTTTTTTGTGACAGGAGCAACCTGAGAAACTACAAGTTGCTTCTGGTGTGAGAGAATTGGCCGTCTGCAAGAACATTGCCCAGGGGACGCCTAGATGTTTGATATTTTACCATCCTTGTGGGAGACCCCAAGGAAATGGTAAATTATCCTTGCCATTCAGTGTTGGTGTTTTGTCTTAGGTCTGTTATAACAGGCTGTGCTTTTTATTTAATTTTAGCTTGTTAAGTTATAATTCATGTTTATATGTTGGGTTGTATAAATTTTGTTAGTATGGATGTATTGTTGTTGTATTTGGGCATTGAATGTTTGCATTTTATGTTTGGAATCTGCTCTGAGTCGCTTTGGAGAGATAGAGCAGAATATAAATAGTTATTATTAGTAGTATTATTATTAGTATTATTCTCTCATTTCCCCGCATGGCGAGCTAGAGCTGATAGATGGAGCTCAACCTGCTCTCACCTCTGGGCACAAGGGTTTAACCCATTGTTCCACTGAGGGCTCCCTATCTAACAGATGAATTGTGATTTTGGTGACATGTCATTTTTTGCTTTTAAATTTGGCATAATTAACTATGATGGCTCTGAAAATATAGTTTTTCATTGTAAGGTCCACAATTATTTTATATATAAATGTCCCTGCTAGTTCACAGAGACATTCCCCCAGATTTTTTGCTGGAATTCTATCAGTTTTACATGCAGTTATGTAACTTTATGTATACTTACCTTCAAAGCAGAGGAGCTAAGAAATCACTTTACTGAATTGTGAGGACACCAGCAAAGTGCCCCCGTGAATCCTCAGTGCCCAGTGCACATCAAGATTGATGCAGGGCAGATCAGGGCTAATGTGATGCCTGTAACAGTGGCTTTCTATTAGATATGAATATTAAGCAAATGCACAATTTCTGTTCCTGCAATACTACTTAGAAAGACGCATATTCCCAGCAGGATTTCAGCCATTATTTCTTGCTATTTTGAGCATGCACCAACAGTGAAAGATTAGCTTTATTAAAATATTAACACTATGTAACACGATTTTTTTTCCTGGGTTATAAATGTCTTTTTCTGATTGGTTCTAATTGGGCAAACTAAGAATGGGCAACCTGAACAGACTCAAGAGTGGGCAGATCAAAAGACAACCTGGCAAAATGGCATTACCGAAAAGAATCCTCCACCTTGTGCGACTGTGGAGCAGAACAAACAGCTCTGCATTTTTATGCTTGTCCACAATGTCCTGCCTCAGGTACAGAGGAAGAATTGTTTAAAGCTACAGAAAATATGGTCACTGTTACCTGGTTTTGGTCAAAAAATATTTAGCTGCTTGTGCTCCTTCTATTTTTATCAGTTTTATACTTATTTAGCCAATGCTTTTGATACAAATATTATTATTATTGATTCTATCATTAAAACATGGAAAAAGTTTATTAAATTGCAAAAACCTTGTTAAAAGGTTAAAAATGGCAGTCACAAAAACAAAGTTTCTGGAGTATAATAGCTACTTTCAAATTAATTACCTCACAATTAAACAGGAATTAACACTTTCAAACCAGGAACATAATTTTTTTCAAATCTTGTTACATATTGTTACATATTTATGCCTGCATTGTAGAACCACATACACGTGCGACATGCTTGAAGGAAGTAGGTTGAACAGAACGTATACATGAATGTAAACAGATAAAGGCACACTTTGAACAAATGAATCGCAAAGGAACATGGGAACATTGTTAAGATAATGTGCAGGAGAAAGCCCTTGGGGATGGTGACCCATAACTGAGGTGTGCAGCACACAAGCTGCACGCCTCTCTTAAATCCATTTATTTACGATATTTCTATCCCACCTTTTTCAAGCCCGAAGGCGACTCAAGGTGGCTTACAAATTGGCAGTAATTCAATGCCATAACAATCCACAATATACAATTAAAACGTTTAAAACAGCATTATAAAATCAATATAAAATCAATACAATACAAAATCATTAAAAATATATAATAACCAATGTCTTCCTGTTAATCTCACTTTCCAGTAGCATCGTTTTGGCCATTCCATGTTTCAAACTTACATAATTCCGTGTTAGTCTATTGCACTGCATTTCCAAAGGATTGTTCAAAGAGCTAGGTTTTTACTTTTTTTTGAAGGTCAGAAGGGAGGGAGCCAATCTAATATCCCTAGGGAAGGAGCCACCACTGAGAAGGCCCTGTCCCTCATCCCCACCAAATGTGCCTGCGAGGAAGGAGGGATTGAGAGCAGGGCCTCCCCAGATAATCTTAAATCCCTAGATGGTTCATAGGGAGAGATACGTTAAGATAGGTAAGCTGGGCTGGAACCATTTATGAACTCAGGAGTGGTTTAGTTTGAAGGTGGTGAGGATACAGATGTCAAGGGGAGAACCAAGTAGATTTCTCTTAGCTAGACCGTCAGCCCACATTGCATGGATTGACATATTTTCAGAGATGAAATAATGACATGCTTGTTCCTGAAAGCATTGCATATTGATTTAGAGGCCTGCAACAATCTGCTTAGCACGCTCCTTTCTCTTTAAAAATCAATAAAAACACTTCAGTAGTTCTGCTTAGCATTTCTGCCATGTTGGCACCACCTATCTCTTTGAAACAAGAGCTGGAAGATAATTCAGACTCAAGACCGTGTTTCAATATAAGGGTGAATCATAGCCACGAGGGGGGAAAAAGATGCTTATTTCAATAGGAGGCTTTCCAGGAATTAAACAAACAAAGATGGTACTTCAAAAATGTACTTACTTAGGCGATCCCTCATTGTCCGAGTAGGATAGTCTTCCAAGGTCAGTGTACTGGTGCGGTCCATAGGTGACTGTGGATGGAGCCCTATTCTTGATCTGCATCTTCTCCTGCAGTGAGGGCTTTGGTTTCCAGGTGGAAGGCGGTCTTGGTCGGGGTTTCACTCTTCAAATTTTACAGCACTGCTGGTCACAGCTGACCTCCAGCTGGAGCGCTTAAGGACCAGGGCTTCCCAATTCTCAGTTTCTATGCTAGAGTTTTTAAGGTTTGCTTTGAGCCCATCTTAAATCTCTTCTCCTGCCCTCCAACATTTCGTTTTCCGTTCAAAAATGTGTACTGTTTTGCTAATGCTGTACGTGCCTGGATAGTTTCTCTAGTCTCTGCTTGTTTCCATGTAAGTGAAAATGTGCCTCCTGTGAAGTACAGTTCTGGCACCCAACTAGACAGGATTTGAAAATATATGTCTATTATTTCAAAATAACCCCCTGTGGCGCAATGGGTTAAACCAATAGGTCAGCAATCTGAATCTGGAGAGAGTGGGTTGAGCTCCCTCTGTCAGCTCATGAGAGAAACCTCCCATGAGGATGGTAAAACATCAAACATCCAGGCGTCCCCTGGGCAGCATCCTTGCAGACGGCCAGTTTTCACACCAGAAGCAACTTGCAGTTTCTCAAGTTACTCCTGACATGAAAAAAATTCAAAAATAACATTCTGACTGCACAAAAGGAGAGAAATGTCAAAGATTTAAATCAGGGGTCCTCAGACTTTTTAAACAGAGGGCCAGGTCACAGTCCCTCAAACTGTCGGAGGGCTAGATTATAATTTGGAAAAAAAAAAAAAGAATGAATCCTATGCACACGGCACATATCTTATTTGTAGTGCAAAAAACATTTTATAACAATACAATAATTAAAATGAACAATTTTAACAAATATAAACTTATAAGTATTTCAATGGAAAGTGTGGGCATGGTTTTGGCTGATGAGATAGGATTGTTGTTGTGTGCTTTCAAGTAGTTGACCCTGAGCAAGGGCCAGGTAAATGACCTTGTAGGGCCATATCCGGCCCCCAGGCCTTAGTGTGAGGACCCCTGATTTAAATGGTAGTCAACAATCCTCCAGTTGCAGAAAAACTCTCTTGTTTGAGTGTTATTTATGATAGTAGTATAAATCTTTTTTTCAAATGGTAGTGAATGGGATAGGAAGCCTTCTTGGGCCAAAATCTTGTTGGTGTGCTGTATTGGCATAACTGTACTGGCTTAGACGGTGCCAGCAAATACAAAGAAAGGAAGACATTAGACAAATACGTTTTTCAGAACTGGGAGGTTTCGTCTGCTGCTTTACAGTTCAGAACCAAGTGCAACTGCTAGCAAAATGCACCAACAGAATTCTGACCTGGATCCCTTTGGACCCCAAAAAGCATGAATCTTCTGATGTTCACGGCATTGTGTGTATACATGCTGATACATTCCCCATTTCATTCTTCTAGGCCAATGACCCTCAAAACATAATTAATTCATTTTATATTATTGTGTACTTGTTGGCGTGCTGTCTGTTATACTGCATTTTTGTATTTCTAGCTGAACAATTTGTTTTACAATTACATTGCATAATTTAATATTTGTATTACCCTTGTATCCTTGGAACCCATACCCATGGTTTCACTTACCTGTACCTGAGAAGGTGAATGGTCTTTGTGGGATTTTGCCAGGTCTGCCAGGTGATTCTGTAGTATACGTCCCTCTGCAAATATCTAGAGAGGTTACCTCTCTATGATCTCTAGGGCCTTGAACACAATTCTATGATATGATGGGACTGGAAGTGAGGTAATCAAATGCTGTTGATTGTAACAGCAAATATCTGGGCGTCCCCTGGACAATGTTCTTGCAGACGGCCAATTCTCTCACACCAAAAGCGACTTGCAGTTTCTCAAGTCGCTCCTGACATGAAAAAAAGTATATAATTGTATACCTTTAAGGGGCTGGCTGTTTTCTCGTTTTACTTGTAAAGCACAATCTGAATTGATGGAACCATATACATAAATAGCATCATATAATCACTGAGTTGGAAGAGACATTGTGGGCATATTCAGTCCAACCCCCTGCCAAGAAGCAGGAAAAACGCTACTAAAGCACCCCCGATAGATGGTCATCTAGCCTCTGTCTGCTTAAAGGCCTCCAAAGAAGGAGCCTCCACCAAAAAGAGTTCTACTGCTGAACAACTCTCACAGTCAGGAAGTTCTTCCTAATGTTCAGGTAGAATTTCTTTTCCTGTAGTTTGAAGCCATTGTTCCACGTCCTAGTCTCCAGGGCGGCAGAAGACAAGCTTGCTCCCTCCTCCCTATGACTTCCCCTCACATATTTATCCATGGCCATCATGTCTCTTCTCAGCCTTCTCTTCTGCAGACTAAACATGCCCAGCTCTTTAAGCTGCTCCTCATAGGGCTTGTTCTCCAGACCCTTGATCATTTTAGTCACCCTCCTCCGGACACATTCTACTTGTCAACATCTCCCTTAAACTGTGGTGCCCAGAATTGGACACAGTATTCCATATGTGGTCTGACCAAGGCTTAATAGAAGGGTAGCATGACTTCCCTGGATCTAAACATTATATACTCCTATTTATGAAGGCCAAAATCCTATTGACTTTTTTTCTGCTGCATGAAGGTGATGTGATGATGGTCTTTTTTACAAAATGTGGTCTTCTGAGCAAAGGACACACATGAGGTCTTCTCTTTCCCAATTTCTTGTCTTTAGATTTCCTCCTATGTAACAGAAACATTACTCTATATATTCATGTGTGAATCTGGAAATTTTAGACAAAAAAATAAACCAAAAACCTGGGTTGACCTATCCACAGGTCAGTGTGAGTACTGTTCCTTAACTGTTATCAAAAAGGAATGATCCGTTTCTCTGAATTGTGAAAGTCAAGGTCTTAGTCCATTCCAGGAAGACCTAAAAGAAACACTGACCTGAGGTCGACGGATACATTATATATCAGGCATGGGCAAACTTGGGTCATCCAGGTGTTTTGGACTTCAACTTCCACAATACCTAACAGCCGGTAGGCTGTTAAGAATTGTGGGAGTTGGAAGTCCAAAATACCTGGACGGCCCAAGTTTGCCCATGCCTGGTATATGTGGTACTTCCACATTGATAAGTTGCTTGTATTGATGTATGCTGCTTGGTTAGGAATCATATCCACCTCTGTGTTCACTTGTCCTTTATGTTTCTGTTCACATTCACTCCCATGCTCTCTTTCTTTTTGCCAATCACAGGAGCTGGTGCCGACTTTGTGATGCTCGGGGGCATGTTTGCAGGGCATGATCAGTGTGCGGGGGAGGTCATTGAAAAAAACGGCAAGAAAATGAAGCTCTTCTATGGGATGAGCTCCGACACAGCAATGAAGAAACATGCGGGAGGTGTTGCAGAATACAGGTATCAGCAATACTCACTCTTTCAATTCCCCTCTTTGAGATCACTTGTGTTTTAATGTTGTAACTGGCAGCAAGTGGCATATACCTAAGTCTGTGAGCGTTCCAAAAAGACTTTGCAGCCCAGCTGTAGGCTGCCCTTTCCCCATTTTTACAGGTGAGCAGAGGATATTCTTCTACTAGCCTTGCCTTGTGCAAAAATGGTGTTGGCCATTTTGGTGAAAGTACATGATGTGATGCCAACTCTTTATATTAAAGGTGCAAAAAATATGATTAATGCAAACAAGATACAGGAGAGTGTTTACAAATAGTTTTTTATTGTTGATAGCATCCAGTTGTTTTTTGGATGGAATAAGCATTTCAGGTTATAATAGTTCATTAAGTCGATTGATTCGCCTTCCCCTGATACTCCATCAAAGTCTGGACTTTAATGAATGAGGTAAGATGTATGTAAAATAAATCAAGATTGTCCTGGAGATTCGGAACATTTATATTGTTTATTTCTCAGATTAGACTCTAGGACCAATATATTTCTGTTTTATAGTAATGATCACATGGCGACCAGATGCATTCTGGCACTTCAGTGATGTTGATTCAGACAGTCCAAGAGTAAGATGATTAAAATGATCATGAAGGTGTCAAGCATTTAGATCCGTTCATAATCACGTACTGCAGGTTTCCAAAGGAAGCAAAGACTGAGATCCTGTATGAGGAGATGGAGCATAAAGCTCTTCTCAAGTAGAATTCTGCTTTGTCTCCTCTTCCCAGGACTCAACTTGTGCCTATGAGGAACCACCTAACATGGCAATTTAGTGGCCAGCAGAGAACAGAGAGTGGCTGCGAAGCATTTGGCTATTTCCCTATAACCGAGTATTTCTCAACCTGGGGGTCGGTACCCCTGGGGGGGGGTCACCAGGGAGTGTCAGAGGGGTTGCCAAAGACAATCAGAAAACACAATCTATCATTGGTGGGGTTTGGAATGCTCTTTGATTGTAGGTAAACTATAAATCCCAGTAACTGCAACTCCCAAATGTCAAGGTCTATTTTCCCCAAACTCCACCAGTGTTCATTTTGGGCATATTGCGGACTTGTGCCAGATCCATCACTGTTTGAGTCCACAATACTCTCTGGATGTAGGTGAATTACAACTCCAAAACTCAAGCTCAATGCCCACCAAACCTTTCCAGTATTTTCTCCTGGTCGTGGGAGTTCTGTGTGCCAAGTTTGGTTCAATTCCATCATTGGTGAAGTTCAGAATGCTCTTTGATTGTAGGTTAACTATAAATCCTAGCAACTACAACTCCCAAATGACAAAATCAATTCCCCCCACCCAACCCCAACAGTATTCAAATTTGGGCGCATCAGGTATTTGTGCCAAATTTGGTTCTGTGAATGAAAATACATCCTGCATAACAGATATTTACATTACAATTCATAACAGTAGCAAAATTACAGTTATGAAGAAGCAATGAAAATAATTTTATGGTTGGGGGTCGCCACACAAGGAACTGTATTAAGGGGCTGCGGCATTAAGAAGGTTGAGAACCACTGCTATAACCAGATAGTATTGTTGAGACCAGCTAGAACTTCTGGAGGATGATGATTTTAGTGTGTGTTCAACTATAAAGATGGAGCTGGAAATTTCTCCAGCCCAGTGCTCTCCACTGGTCTCTAAAATGTTGCACGGGGGCACAGGCAATGGGTGTATTTTGCTTATGGTGGGGGTTATTCCATGCAGTGATGAACACCTCCTCTGCAACAAGTAAACATGAGAAGAGAGAGAGGTACACTGGTATCAGGCTGCCATCCAAATAGCTATGAGGTCACAGGTTACTTAGTGACAGCTAGAAATGCGCTTCTGGAGAATGCTATCTTAATTTCATTTCCAGTTGTCCCTTCCCACCCACTCAAAAGTTCAGAACATTTATAAAGGCAGTAAACACATCTGCGCTGTTACCAATTTGATCTCATTAGTTAGATGGGTTTTCACTTAGGAGCACAAACAAAAATAACTGTATATGGAGAAGCCTTGTGCTTGAAAGTCCTCCTTTGCAACAGAGAAAAGCATTTCTCTAAAATAGCAGAGATTTTTTTTCAAAGAGCAAACCGAAAATAACATTCCATCAATAAAAATGAATTCTTCTTCATCTCTAGAGCTTCAGAGGGCAAAACCGTGGAAGTGCCTTACAGAGGGGACGTGGAAGACACCATCCGTGATATCCTGGGTGGACTGCGATCTACCTGTACCTACGTGGGAGCTGCCAAGCTGAAAGAGCTTAGTCGAAGGACAACTTTTATTCGAGTCACTCAGCAGCACAACCAAGTCTTCTCTTAAGCCAAAGAGGAAAATACCAGGAGCTTGGAGTTCCGATACATGCTGGCTTTTCCCTTTTTATTTTCAGGTTGGGTTTTTTTTTTTGCAATGCAGCTTCCTGTTGGTGTACTCCTAAGAAAGTGGGGTAATAATTCACCATTATTTATTATGGTGGTTGGAAAAAGCCTCAGGAGGACAAGTAATAAACTGCATCTGTGCTCATGATAATTTTTGTTGTTCAAAATACAACGGCACTGTCATATTGTGGCCTTGCTTATTTAAATGAGAAATCTAGTTTGATGATCCATGAAAATCTCCTCTCTAGTGTTATAACTATCTGCCTGTTGGGACAATTCCTGTTATCATTTATAAGCAAATCTACCCAGGTTTTGACATTGGCATGACCAGTCTCAGCTGTTCTTGCAACATGGCATGGAAGTCAGAAGAAGAGGAAGCCAAGTTTGAAAAATGGAAGATGCTCACTGCAGGGATATGATGCCCAGCAAGCCGGCTCTAGAAGTAAAAGATGCTGCTTTGTTTTCACTGTGACATTAAGTGCTTGGATTTTTAAGATATGTGCTATGTTCTGAAAACTACTGATTAAATGGCTATATTAATCTTATTGTAATACTTTGCTGGGGACATGTTCCAATATAGAAAGTTGTCCTGCTTTTCCGTCCAAGGAAAGTATTTTAGGGACAAATCATGTCGGATAAAGAACAGTTTTTCTGACCTTTTTGGACACCTTTCTTCATGCTGGCGCTCTTATATTAGTGGTTCCCAACCTTTTTTTGACCAGGGATCACTCTCTAACATTAGTACCAAAAGGGTTACGAATCAGTTTTTGGTCAACTTTAGATTCAGTTTGGTTATTTGGGGTGCAGATTCAGAAAATTGCATTGGATAGACAACATCAGCTGTAGTTTCTGATACAAAACATATACTACCTAGTAGTTGCCATTTGCTCGCCCACAGAAAACCATATTTAATAATCCAGAGCTGATGTGGAAATCGTAATCTTTTGTGGGTAGCCAGTCTCTCCCCTCCCGACATCCCTGTTGCCTTGGCACTATAAAAAGGTTTCGCAAGACCAGTCGCTCTTGTTACTGCGTGGTTTCAAGGCAACTGTGTAGTAATGGTAAGGTCACAGACCATATTTTCGTTCTTCCGGACCACTGGTGGTCCACAGACGATAGGTTGGGTTGTGTGTGTGTACACACACACACACACAAAGCTGCACCTACTATCAGCCCCAACTATCATGGCAAATGTCAAGAGAACACAGAATCTGGAATCCAAAAACATTACAAGGTACCAGGTTGGGAAAGGCTGAGAACACACAACAGTTCTCAGTTAACAGTTTCAGAAAAAAACATATAGAGTTTTTTCTGGCACTAATGAACAAATGTATGCTATGCTTTTAAGAAGATCCACGGCAACAGATCTTGAGCCCCAAGAGCTTGCATCTTGACAAATGGCACAATTTTATTGTGATTTTTAATTTGTATCAGCTGTTGCCAAAACGTGTGTCTTTAGCCTTCTTGTCAGCTGTAAAACAAGCTGTCATTGTGACTGTTCCTGGGATGAAGGGACAGAACGAGGGAAGTACATGTAGTGCGCATACTTCAACAGTTCATTATCAGAAGAAACAGACCTAAACATAAAAGGTTTGGCTTCTGTGTGGCCTCCTTGTCTCCAGATAGTGCAAGCAGTTTACCTTCTGCAGTCGTCATTTTTCTGACATTGGCATCATTAGTCTTCAGCAAGGAAACTGTCCACTCCTTATGTCCCCAAATCCATCTGCTTCATTCTCTTAAATGAATAGTTGCATTATTTATGTGAAGGGGCTCAAGAGGTTTGCTCTTTGAAGATTTCTGAGCACTTGCTACATTTACTTTAAGTGTCTGCAAACCATAGGCACTCCAGCAGCCTTCCTTTAATAAAACTGCTTTCATTATGACATGGCATATTTGTACATAGGCATAAAAAGGAAGATACAGGACACTGTTTACAAGTGAGCAGGCAAAAAAGAAAAAGAAAAAAAGATGGCATTTGCTGTCATTTAAATTACATAGGTTGAACTACCTAGGAAAGAGGCAGATAAGCATACATTCTTCAGAGAGCAGAATACGATAACACTTTATAAACAGGACCAGGTAGCCAGATCTAACATCAATTTGAATTTTCCTGGGATAGTTGCAGAAGGACATCAATATCCAAGGTGTTTTTCAAGTACATTATTGGAACCAACTGTGCTGAAGGAATACGGTTTTGGGAGTTCACTTTTTTGTTTACTTTTTTGGACTCTTGTTCCCATAATCCTATAGCAAGTATGGCTTAGTGGAGTATTCTGGATGTTGTAGTCTAAAAAATACAGTTTTTATGAGCTGATTTATATATAGAAACTGGCATTAACAACGTATTTTTCTTGACAGCTTAAAAAAAAATCTAAATCTTTTATCAGGCTACATAAATGGCTGTTTTTTGCTATTAAGCCACTAAAATACAAAAACTTTCCTGCCAACAATCTGGTGCCATTATTCATGTATCCCTTGAAATTGGGGGATTATTTAATATAATTTAGGACATCTTATACATATAGCGTTGTCCTCACAACCTTTTTGAGCAGTGGCTGGTATCATGTTAGTGACACATACACAGGTTGGTACTGCTTTTTCCTTCTACAAAGCCTCCCTCTTCTGTGCAGCCATTCAATGTCTCATGGGAAACCGGCAAGATCAGAGAAGAGTCTGTCTGTGGCTGATTGGCACATATGAAATCATTACAACATCATGGAAACTTCTATGGAGACAGAGCCAGATGCTCCTTCAATCCTGCCCGCTCCCCATGTGACATAGCAAAGTTGTGGGAGAGAAGGGAGTTCAGAAATGCTATATGGAAAGCTTGGAGGATGCAGGTACATGGCTCAGCCCAGTGTGGATAAGCTTGGTCACTAGGAATTCTCTACTACTCTACTCCTCAAGCTGCCCCTATTATGTTTTAGGTGAGAGCAAATTCTGTATCTCTTCAACCATTTGACACAACCGTTTTCATGTGTGGTTAAATGAAATAGTTCTCAATAATACCACCAAAGCGCAGGACGAAATGGATGCAAAGTGTTTAATATGCACAAAACCGTGATTAATTTCTCTCCCATTTGGATTAATTCATTCAAACTCAAAATATGAGCATTTTAAATATATATTGAATTTTTTTTATTTATTTAAACACAAGACACATCTAGTTTTAAAACTCGATATGGGGCACTTTTTTCACGATTGTATAGCAGATTCTTCACTAATTTTGGACTAAAAAGATCCTTCTTTACTTTTCCTTAGACTTGCTTTACAATTTTTGATACTTTGGACTGCCCCTGGGCTTTTAAAAGTCTTGTTCAATAAAGTCGTTGATTTCTGCTTTACTTCCTTTTAAAAATAAAAGATTTATCTCAGCTCTAAAACAGAAGATGGGCACCCCAAAAAGTAGACATTACCTCAACACACCCAGAAGATGTGGTTTGTATGTGTTACCTTCAATTTTTATTTTAGTTCAGGGGGCAGGCTTAGCCCATCATGCCTCTCAAGGGGCCAATGTCTAAGATTTACGTTATTGTCTTTCTTGGAGCTTGAAATGCTGGCACTGCTGCTACTGTTGAAAACATAGGGCAATGGAGCAACATACCTTAAAAACAATCTCTGCATCTGAACTGTGATCTCCATTTCTCAAATCTTCAACATAAAATTTGGCCGCAGCAACAAAAGCCAAAGACAGCTGCATAAAACGTCCAAGTGTTACCATTTGCTGGAGGCACATTTAAAATGACTGTAAGGATGCATAAATACAGCACAAAGATAGTGAGACAAAATGAGCTCTAAAGAAATAAATTCAGAATACAGTTTTACTATGCATCAATAATACAGCTTAACCACTGGCATTCCCCCCTCCTTTGCTGTAATGCCTGAGGTCAAGTGGTAAGGGAAAGGGCAAGTCAACTACAAAGATTGTATCATACAATTTTGCCATAAGTAGTAGCTAGTATATGTAGTAAGCAGAAATGCATCAACATCTGTGTATTACAGATAAAATAAATATGTTTTTTTTAATTTTTTTCTAAGAGCAGACCCCCTTCTTGTCAAGAGCAGATTCCTATGGACAAACTGCTCTTTCAAAGAGAAACTCCAACCCACTTTTTCCTTAATTCATACACAATAAAGAACACTGATTTGCAATTGGCACTGTTATTTTATTAGTACGAGTATACTGAAACAATAAACTTGTACTGGTATACAGACAATTTCTTTAAAACAATTTTGTTCAAATTTTGAATCAAACATTGTTTTATTATAATAATGAAATAATTTCTACCTAGAAAACCTGCAAGCACCATCAAAGAAAGGGACCATAAAATTCAATAAACAGACGCGAGTGTATCCTACAAATAGACACACCACGATTAGAAAATAGAATATGAATTCTTCCATTTTTTTTAATATTTGTTTTAAAAAAGCTAGTGCAAGTACAATATTTTACACTGGAATTACAGAGAGTATGCACGCATATGGAAAAAGTTCTCTTGTCACAATAAAAGCTCTTACCTATGTCTGTATGCACTTAAATCTCCTCCTCTTCTATAAGGTGCAAAACGTCCCCTCCCTATTTCTCCGTGTACTGGCCACGTCAGCCCAATATGACCTCAGCGTAAAGCTATGATATACCCCTTTTCCTAGGCCAACACTAGGCAGGTCATTGAAAATGTATGTTTTCATCACTTGAGTAAGCGGAAAAAGCCCAACACAAACTATCTGTTGATGTGGGAGAACTTTTTCCTTGAATATATGCCGAATGTTTACAAAATCGCAATGAAAACTTAGAACTACACTCAGCTGTTAGCTCCAGTTATACCAGATTCACTGAATCAATGGGGTTTGAATCAGTGCTTGTGTAAATTCCACTCATACACTGGGTCTACTTTGGTTAGACCTATTTTTTAGGTTTAGGCCTGAATGTAAGGGCCTGAAGGTTACCAGTTTAACAGACTAGGTAAAAGAGTATTTTCTGATTTTCTATCTTACTTAAATAGAAATTTATTTTGTAGTTGCTGACGGAAACACAACAACTAAGGTTCATATCTAAACAATGACCTTGAGAGGCAGTAGGTCTGAGGTACAAATAGAAAATATGAGGAGAACCACCAACTGGCTACATAAATGCAGATATTTATTGTCCAGACACACAAAAACATTTTGAGGCATTTCAGTTACTTAAGGCCTGTCTTTCTGGGGCTAAACAGATACACAGAACAACTTGCAAGTGAATGTGGATTAGATCTGACAATCAACTTTACAAGCATGAAAGCTAAAACCACGTAGATCAATCCAAATATCTTTTGCTGCTTCCATACAGCCTTAAGCACTCAACAAGTAAGAATTACATCATTTCTCTGGTCAATAAATAATTGCACTTTCTGTGCTCCTCCTTTGGCTTTGGGCGGATGGGAATTTATTGGCAGACATTTTGCAATATCGTTGTTCCCACACATAGACACTGCTCTGAAAGCGAAAAGCATATTGTGTATATTGGTGAGGAAACAGTGACTGTCCAGATCTCATTGGACTGCTGCTGTAGCTTGCATAACAATGTCTGTCTCAACAACATTTGAAAAGTGCTTCATTCCCTATCCCTGCCATAAATGGTTTTAATTTTCAGAAAACTCTCTTGGTGGTCAGCTCTTTGGTGGTGCAAATCGGCAGACCACTACTTGCTCTGAATACAGCTTCATAACGAAACAAACTTTATAGATTTAAAGGAGGATTCAACAAAGTATAATCCAACAAAGCATTTCTCAGGCCAAATTTTCTGTGGCTTTACAAGGCTTCACTAATAGACTTTTCACATATGTAATTGTGTTGGCAAATGGCACTGTTGGGGGGAAAAACACAAGTACCTATGATTTGGACGTCTATATGATTTGTCCCAGTCTCAATGAAAGTGACTTGCGATATTTGCATCATACAGCAGTTCCAGCACCAGTGAGTCAAATCTATTGCAGAGAACACTTCCAATGGCTGCCTACTGTATGGCTGAGGAAAAGGGAATAAGATCTTTAATCAAGCAAAAGAAAACAAACAAACAAAAGCAACCACAGATGAAGCCTCATATTAATGCTCAGTGGAAGACTCAAGTCCTTTCTGATAACAATGAGAAAAACCACAGAGTTCTTGCAATATGTATTGTACGTAGAAACACGACTTCATTTTGTTAGGAGAGAGGCCATCTTTCTGCACCTGAAGGGGTCGTTTTATTAGAGAATTATATCCCTTCTGCATTAAATGCTTAAACCGAAACTTGGATTATTACTATAGATTGCAAGGGACGAGGAGAGAAGGATTCAAACAACCATCAGAAAGGCACCCCCACCATCGCTTTAAAGACTTTGTGTATTTTGGAGTCCTACCTGAAACCTATACTCCAAAGTTCCCTTCATTTTTGATGTGGCAGTAAAGTTCATTCCTATACCTAATGAAACATAATTTAAACTCTCCAAATAACTCCTAGAAGAACTAACATTATGTCTTTAATACTTCCAGGTATAAGGGAATTGGCGGCGGGGGGGGGGGGGGGGGGGGGGGGGGGGGGGGGGGGGGGATGTGAATTACATGAGACAAAATGCTGTTTCCGACTTCTCTTTTGTTGGCTGTTGAAATCTCTTGCAAGAAACTTTTCTTGTTGGCCAACTTAATTCTTTGGATTGCCCTTTGTGTTTTATTTTAAGACATAGGAAGTGCAAAAGATGTGAGTCACCATCCCTAGAAGGAGTAAAGACACCCAAACCATATTCAAGGTTTAAATCCAACCTGGGCAAATAATGGTATTCTTGTGAATCATTCTCCCCTTCCCCAATGATGGGAGTTATGTAAAGCAAGTGTAAAAGTAAGCATCTTTGTCTTTGAAAACCTATTAATCAACTAGTCTTTCCAGCCAGAACCAATACAATCGGATCATCTAGACGTGAGAGTTTTCTATATACAAAAAACATGTAACTTTCACCCTTTCTCGGCTTTTGTACTTTTATTTCATTTTTACAAACAACACACGATTTCAACATATCCATCGCTTTTCAAACACTGAATGAATCATTCCAACATTCATGTTTCTTTTGTGCAATTTTTTATATAAAACATTACCTGTAGTCCTCTCAATGTGAGTGCTTCAAAAAAGTTTGTTTAAGCTTTTCATCAAATCAGGTTCACATAAAAAAATATTCCCACGAGTTAATAGTGCTACAAGTAAAGATCCTATCAGTAAGGTAACACGTCAGAAGCGAGGTCTTCTATGTAAAAGAAATTGAACTCTGGAGTAGAAGTGTGCAACTTGTTTGGAATTTCCCTATCAGGAGGAAAAATAAAACCACAATACTGCTCTTGGAAACTACAAAGGAAATCAACAGAATATTCTTGTGCTCTCAAAAACAACAACTACAGTTTGGGAAACTATTCATTCTCTTATTTTTTTCAGGAATTGTCAGAGTTATAAGCATTTAAAAAGCACTAAGCACATTCTGCTTGAACCAGACATATGGAACAATTTCCCTTTGTTTTCACACTACCACAGTGTCTATCCTTAGGCTAGACAGCATCGTTATTGGTAATGATTTTGGGGTATTGGAGGGAAGGAGGAGGAGAGAATGCAGGTCACATATTGCTGTTTACAAATTTCATTCCACATTAGATGTGACACATAAAGGTCTATTTTTCTCAACTGAACTGGGTATAAATAAGGGATTGACATAAAGGTTGACTTTTTATTCAGCAGTTGATCAAAAGAGCTACTCTATTTGGGACTAACAACTGGATTTAAGCCCTAAACACCTACACCAAGGTGGAAGTGTTTGGCATTACCTGAACCAACAGATGCATGAAACCACTCCAAGGAATTAAAGTTCCAATGCTGCAAGGAGAAATATACACAAGTGGGCCCCGGGACTGATCAATATGTACCTCTGATGTTTCAAAGCATACAATTGGATTGATTTCAAATAGGTGACCCAACATATTTCAAGGATCAGGGAAAATCATGATCCTTACAGGATGAAGCCCTGAAAATGTAAATAGGGCTTTACAACACTGTTACTTGGATATCTATGGCATAAAAGAAATATTTAAGAACTCATGTTTGAACATTAGAAGAAATACAAATTGTCTTTAAAATAGCATTCTCATTGTATTCATACACTATCACTGTTATGGGTCACTCCCCCCCCCCCCCCCCCCCCCCAAATTGCTTGGCAACTTATCTATGGAACACAAGTCACTGTGCATATCATGAATTTTATCCATAACCAAAAGCTCCAGTTCACACTAGATCTGCTGCTTCCTATTGCAATCTATGTGATCGATCTGGGAAGTTAATATATGACCTTCCAGGAAATCCAAACGTCTCCTTGGAATTGAACATCCCTACTCCAGAGCAGTAAAAGTGCTCCTTCTGGTCACATCAGTGTACCACACATACACCAGCCCCATCCCTGAGTAAGAGGTGTGAAAGGTTTCCAAATGTTGCTTGATTTAGGGAAACAATAATAGTGATGTCACTTCCTGCATCAGTTCCCCGCCCGCCCCCCAACAAATTTAAAAGCGACATCAGGATTAAAATAGATGGATAAGACATGCATTTTTCTAAAGAAGGGTAGGGAAAGGGGAAGGAGAAAAAGAAGGGATTTTTTTAAAATGTAAGAATAATCCATGTTTAACTTACAGGATACAAGGTAAGTGACATTGCATTCTGAAACCCTCATGATGTGGCCCAGACAAACTGAAATGATACCTAAGTTAAACACTATGAGGAACAGTCATTATATATAGATATAGATATAGATATATAGATATATTTATTTAGAAATTCCTATAAAGAGGTTCTGTTTTTTTTCTTTTTCTTTGCCCTGACGAATTTTATTGGTGATTGTATGAGTTTCATTGTAAACTAAAACAGATCTGGTACAAAAACAAAGGAAAAAAATACACAACTTGTGTCAGTTAATATTGCCATGTGGGCACTGTATAGAGGCCTCTTGCAATGTGATTTATCTGAATGGTCTTCAAATATTTTCTGTACTTTTCCATTGCTATTTAACCAACAGGAAGAAATGGGAAAGGAATGATTCTGTGAAGCAGAACTTTAGAAGGACAGTTTCAAGAATACTGGTGGGCTTATTCTTTGTAAAATTAGATTATTCCCCCCCCCCCACCCCAAATGATATTATGGCACTTTAGAGCACAGGGCTCACATTTCTAATCCAGTTGTTCTTGAGGACAAAGGGACTACGCAACCTTCTATGGTGGACATCAACAGGACCTGAATTTACGTAGGATCATTTTGGGAAATGCAAAATGTGTAAAATGTGAGAATCCACAGAATTAGACCACAAATAGACTAGTTCAGGTCCTCAACCAAAAAGAAAAGCGTGACTCTGGGTGTTCCAAGGATGAGACAGGATTCACTAAACCAGAGTTTGTAAAGGAGCATTGGGAATGGGACTACCACTCCAAAAGGAGTCCAGCCAAACCCTTCTGTACATCTAATCCAACAAACAAACAAACAAACCCACCCATATCCAGAAGTAACCTTTCCTCAATCACACGCTGTTCAGAAACAGAGGACATATGTGCTTTGCTCCTCTGAAAGGGGGTATTTATCACCCTCTTCAATGCAAGGTAAAGATCACTCATAGTTAAGGTGCACAATAGAATTTAATGCTGGCAACTCTGTAGAATGTTGTTTGCACCACCCAAAAGTACCCAATTATTGATTTGTAGATCATTCATTTTCACAGAATTTGTCCCATCCCAAATAATCCTTTTCATCTTTAATATCCTCTGAGGTAAGGGTATGATTTAATATGTTTTCTCTGTTGGATGATTGTTTTTTTAAACATAGAGGCCATGTGGGCTAAGATAAGAGCGTTATAGAGCCCTCACTCCATGGGTGCCAGAAGTTTTGGCGTGTGGAGACATTCTGTCCCCATCAAAGACCAAGGGAGTATAAGGCCCTAGATTTCACACACAAAAAATGGCAGGGGAAGGGTTTACCTGTCACCAATTGGATGAATCTAAATTGGCACATAAAATATTGCACATGCTAAAAAAGCAAAAGCATAACAAAAGGGAACAATGTTTGGAAAAAGAGCCGCGATTGCAGGATTCGAAGTCTGCAATGCAAGCAGAGAACAAATACATTCCTATTGCTCCAACCTTTTTATTACTAGTTTTTACTTTTTAGTGTCTACTAGATGCGGTCAGTTCCAAAATCCCTGCTTCCTTATATGAATGATGCTCTCTGAGTACACATGAGAATAGTGGTACTGATGGGAACAAAATAGGGAATTCTGCCCCGTGTCTTTCTATTCTTCTCACCATCAGAGATTGAAACGAAAACAAAACAAAAACAAAACAAAATGCCAAAATAAAACTCCAAAAAACAATAAATGGAAAGTGCCCTGAGCAGAGTTTATGGAAGATTAAGCAAAGTTCTCTGAGCAGAAAAGTTGAAAAAAAATATTACAGCACTAAATAAGCCGTATGATTGTAAGAAGGAACCTGCTCAGCTATTTGGTGAATTACTGAGAGGTTATAACAACAACAATTCAAGAAAGATTTCAAGCTATTTTCAAACTTAAACACATTTTTGGTGCACCCCAGAAAATGGTACAAAAATGATTAGTTCTGGTGTGAGCTAAGGTTCAAGTAACAAAGAGACATAAGAACTGAAGGGGGGGGAGGGTAGAGTGGGAGTCATTTTCCTTTTGAAACATTTATAAGGAACTAGGAAAGGAAAATGAACATTGGGGGGAATTTGCTTTTAGAATCTGTTCTGATTTCTAAAATTTAGATTCTAGATTTCAATAGGCCTCAGATTAACAGGTTCCCAGTGAAAGCAGGACAGCATTCAGGGTCAAAGTCTTGATCAAGAGAGATGAATTCTTGCCGGGCAAGTCAATTAAACATTGCTTGAATCTAGGCAAATTGTGATGTTTCCCCTTCACTTGAGTAACAGAGATGTGCAAATTCTCTATTTCAGCTTCATTCATTCCCCAAAGAAAGCCACATTGAGGAGAGTGGCTACCTTAGGGCAAGTGGAATGATCATGGGAAAGAAATAAGGGCAAACAGCCTTTATTTGTACCGGCAACATGTCCTTTCATCTACCTTCCTCACCCCAGTTAACTTCAAAAAGCAATTGCAAATGGGGAAAGAAGAAGAGTCATGCTTGCTCACCTACCCTTGACAAGCTGGAGCTAACACAGACACATTCTTGCACCATTTTCACACAAGATACAATATTTGAGCCTCTATTATATTTGTACCACAAGTGAACAATGTTAACATGGACAAAACATGCTAACATGGATTTTATATTCACATTACAAACCAATTCAAAGAGAACCCAACTGAAGTTTCATATGTGAAAATGCCAATTACTTCTCATCAGGAGACCCTAATTTAATTCTTTAGAAATGAATGTAGTAATTTCATTAGCTAGACTCAAAAAGTAGGCTGTATGTTTATTGATCTGAATTTTTTTCACAGGTTGATATTGTTATATCACTCCTCTGTGTGAGTAGTCACCAGGGCTTTAATGTGGCTATTAATTGGGAACGGATTTCAAGATGGAAGCCACAGAATCAGCAGGAGTTGGGATCTCTGGATCCACTCTCAAATTTGTTTCAGATTTCTGGGAACAGTAACAACACCAATAATAAAAGAGCTTAACTGGGTAAACCTTCTACCCATCGTCCTGTTTTGTACCAAACTTTGACATCTACTAATAATGGAAAAGACGTTATTCAAGGTAAGAAAAAAGTAATATTCACAACAATAAAATAACAATGGATTAGAATTAAAATCAAAAAACCAAAACTTGCTTCCATGTCAAAGTGACTCTTATGGAAAACTCAGCAAAATCTGAAGAGAAATTCTCAGAGTCCGTCCTGGTTCAGGATGACAGATATGGTAGAAAGAAAATAAAGAGGTTGAAAGGAAACCTAACCCTACAAAAATGGTCTAGACATTAGGCAGGTTAGTAAGTAATTGCTACATTTGTTTAAGCTTTTTCAGTCCCTCTCCCTTCCCCAAAAATTATTAGGTAAAAACTGCAGGAATACCACGCAAATGATAAACTCAAGATGTGCAAATTGCAAGATTCTTTAAAGTCCATCTTTTTTTTTCAAAAACACTGGACAATAATGATTTTTCTTCTTTCTTTTATACTCTCTCTTAATTCTTTTATTATCTGTCAGCTCGCATATGCCTTTAACTCTTTCACAAGCATTAAAGTTTTAAAAGTGCCTCCTATTAAGTAGTCCTTGTGGACAATGACTGTCACAGACCAGTTCATAATTCACATTCATCCCTTTGAAATCACATGAAAAACTTTCAACATCTTGCTTGTGAGAAACCTCTACATAAGCTTGTATGTAGTTAACAGTGTTGAAGAGATCAGTTTCTTTCTTTGCTTTTTTCCTCTCTCCTCAAAGAGATTAAAGTGAGATACAGTACTTGCCGAGTATTAAGCCAGGATGCTCAGCAACAAAAGTGTGAACAGCATTGTAAGTGCTTAAAGACATTCTATGTTCATCTTCGACATCCACTTCCTTGTGTCACACTGAAATTTGAAAAAAAGTGGCACTAGTTGTCCATAGTCAAGATGGAACTAAAACAGTACTAGAGTTAAAAGACAAAGATTTGCAACTTAAATGCAAACTGTTCATTCTCTCTCAAAGGGGCAGTGCATATTTGCCTTGTGGAAGCAAATGTCAGTGGCAACACTCAATGGATCTCTGTCAAACTTGACAAAGTTGCTTCATTGGATTGCAGTTCCCAGAACTTCCTAGCCAGTATGGCTAGTATCCACACTGACTGGAGGCTTCTGAGAACTATAATCCAATAAGTACCTTTGCCCAACTCTGTTTCCTTTAACCCTGTACACACGTAATGGAGAGCTCTAGCGGGGTCTAGTGAGGGTGGTGTCTCTCCGATTTGACACTCACTAGGCCTGAGGCAACAATGTCCTACTTTTGAAGAAATCCTCGATGTTTGCAAAGCAAGAATGAGTTGCTACACCTTTGCTATGCAGCTGGACTAGCAACTGAAAATGAAATCTTCGTGTGGCAGTCTCTGAGGAGAATAATAATAATAATAACAATAATAATAATAAAAAATAGTGCAGTCAAGACACCCCTATTGCAGGGTGGAGGATGGGGTTGGGGATTCAGAAAAACATGTGGCGAAGTTGGGGAAACTTAAAAAAAAGGTGGTCTTATTGTGCAAAGCCTCAGAGACTGCTGAGTTCTCTGTTCTTACTTCTGGACTGAATTTCCAATAGTTGCCCATTGAGAGAACTATCAAACATGGTGGACTTTCCAGTCCCACCCTCTTGCTGAAATCGGGCAATAGTGTTCATCTCTGCTACAGTTCCCATTTCTTCCTCGCAGAAAGTTGAGGCTTACTCTGCTTGAAGTGCTGGAAAACAAGAGCTGCGACAACATTTGCTTCCACAAAGGGTGGGGATGACGCAGAACCTGCCCTTTCTGTAGCTCTTGATAAAAAAATAATCACTGATGAACACTTGGGGTGGGTAGGGGGGGAACTATGCACCAGTCTCCTGCATAATACCAGCTGCAACTATAACAACAAGGTTATAACATAAACCTAAAATAAGAAGATAACATGTAAATACTGGGTTATTTTAGCCTACAGTACAGTAATCTGGATAAAAATGACAAGGGATAGCCTAATTTCGTTTCCCTAAACAGACTTCACTTGCCTACGTTAGAGCGCCCTTCAATGCAAATCTTAACCTCCTGAGGAATAAAAGAAGGTTTGGGAAGAGTCAACGGTGGCTCCTCTTCCGACTTCTCGAGCTTTCGGGATTCTGGGGCTGACCACCTCCTCTTCCTGGTTGCTGTGGGCTTGCTGGGTTCTGATTTCGTGAGCAGAGATGCTGCAGGCAATCCTATTTTGTCTGGAAACTTCAGTTCGCCATTCTCGGATGACATCTTTGCACTTCCCTGATCAATACCATTTTCCTGCTCCGCATACCGATGTCTACTACTAGTCAGACTGTCATTCTTAGAGTGCTTCAGCAAGATGCTAGCTGAGTCCATGGACTGGCCCTTTTTAATGGAGCCGTTCTTCAGATTCTTGAGTGTAAGTGATATGCAGACATCCCCAACGGAGAGTTTGGAGCATGGCAGATCAAAGAGCTGGCTCGTTCTCTCAGGGCAACAGGATGACCAACCTTGTCCAAATACAAAAAAAGGATATTCTACCAAGACTTCAACGCTTACCTGCATGGGGAATAAGAGAGGGAAGGGATTGGAGAGGGAAAAACACTTGTTCATTACAGGTACATTACCTAAACCTGTCGGATATTTATTTATATGTTGATATTTATTCTATTTATTTATTTCTCTACATCCCCTGGTGGGAGATGCTTCTTAAGGTTGACCACAGACACTCCTTGCCCTGTGCATCTCTCCAGACATCTGGTGCTGCCTTCTCACCCTTTTTCTCTTTCTCTCCCCTTTCTTGGTCTGGTTTTGGTAGGATAATCGCTTCTTTCATCCAATCCACTGTCCAGGAGTATGTGTGTTCATATGTGTGCATACATGTGTGTGCAGGTATCTCTCTCAGTGGAACTCAGGAGAACTGTGCCAGCATGGAAAGCAAGCAGCAACTGGTGGGAAACAGACTCTGCAGCAGATCAGACAGAGAAACTAGAAGAGTTGTTCTCAATCTGTGGGTCCCCAGGTGTTTTGGTCTACAACTCCCAGAAATCCCAGTCAGTTTACCATCTGTTAGTATTTCTGGGAGTTGAAGGCCAAAAGGTTGAGAACCACAGGACTAGAACAAAAGAGAACAGAAGAAAAGCAATATGTGGGGAATGGAAGTGGGAGGAGAGGTAAGAAAGACTGCAATTCTAGGGATAAAAGAAGGGGGAAAGGAGACATTATATGTGAAGGAAAATGAAGTGAAAGAAAATTGGAGAAAGCCTATCCTGGAGAGACTAGCTCCTTTGTAGTTGCCTCAAACCCCCTCCAAAGCTGAGAGTAAACAGAGACAATGTTTGAGAGTGGAAGACAAATTTTCTGCTTGGGGAAGGGAAGAACCGCTGGCCTTAGTTACTCCGAAACTCTGACCCACTCCTCATTCTAGCTGCAGATATCCTTTTCCATGTCCATTTCTGCTCACGTATGCCTCAGGAACAGGGAAGCTTTCCTTGATAGTCTGAATCTGAACCCTCGATGCTTGCCAAAGCAAAACAGCAGTTGTCTATTACTCTCTGCTCCTTTACAGAGGGGAAGGAACTGCTTTCTGGTGGAGTGTTTCTGAATACATTACCTTTACTTTATAATCTTTACATTTTAAACTTTCAAATCAGCCTGACTTGCTGACTGAAAAATCCAGCAATCCTTCATTTCACTAAAAGAGGCAAAATGGTATATTCTGAACCTGTCCTGGAGAGAAACATCTTAGTCTAAAACACTGAATTTTACTGGTTTCTCCATGTGAGCAGAAAAAGATGGGACTGACATGCATATTAGAGATTATGTGGAAGATCGTTTGCAAATTGTCATTAACCTGTAGAGCAGAACTAGTGTTTTGGACTTCAGCTTCCAGAATTCCTGGCCATTGGATAAGCTGGATAGGGCTTCTGGGAGTTTGAGAACCAAACATTGAGACAGCTGCAAGTTGTGTAGGCCTGCCGTAGAGCAAAATACAATATCTGGAGAACGCTATCCCTCCCTCCACTTTCGCTCTGTCTCTCCTTTCCTTGTTGCTTTATTTTTTCTTTTCCTGACAGGTTATCACAGAATGTTAAGAGAACCAAAGAGTCACCTAGTCCACCCAAGTCCTGAGTTAAAGCGCACATGGCAACATTCATACTTCAAGCACACCCTAATCTCCCATTTCTGTCTTCTATTTTTATTGAGTTTTCTTTTGTTTTGTGAGTAAAACTAATCCAAATTTGGATTTTGAGATATTAAACAGTGTCTGCTGCTGCTGCACAGTGGAAGGAGGAGCTAGTCTATTTTGGAGACAGATATAAGAAACAATTGATGGGGAAGAGGGCACTACACCACACAGATGATGTACTGGTTGCTGCTTGTTGCCACCAAAGCACTTACTCCTCTGAGCAAGCGAATTGAGCAGTATCTGTGGCTACAGATATTGCCTGCTGCCATCTCCAAACTACATAGGCAGAAAGGAATTAGGACTAACTGAGCTCTCCTATCCCTTGACTGATCCTACCTAGATAGAATGAGGCAACTACCACAAGATGCAAACTTGATGTGTCATTAATAGAAAGACATTTGTTGGTACTAGATTTGTTATTCTGGGGATTTTACTGTGGGGATTGATCAATTTTGCTTACTTTAAATGCTATGCCCCTTGACTTGTGTGCGCGCGCTATTTTATTATCCATTTCAGGCAGCAAAATGCCTTGGACCATCTCTGCTAATGACCTAATTCCACAGAATGGGATACGACTGTAAAAGTTATCTTGTATGTGTGCTTGGTTCCCTATGTATACACTTTGTATTCATTAAAAATGGCAAACAAGTAATTAAGCCACTTCTACTGCATAGTGATTAATCTCAAGAGGGTTTCCATGTAGGTTAATTAATACAGGGCCTAAACATCATTTTTTTAAGGATTCAATACTGATTTCTAACACATCCTTCCCTGCTTTACTCACCATCAGCACAGTCCCTTACCTAGTCATACAGTCTCAAAAACCATGAACAAGATTGTATTAATAATGAAATCACCCCTAAACATTTCACATTTCTGAAGAATGTCACCTTTTAAATAATAACAACAAGCCTGAGAATCCAGACCCTTTTGTAACCTTTTTGTTATTAATTAGCTAATCAATGACTAGGCTTTATATTCTAATGAATAAAAATGGCTAGAAAAGTTAGGCCAATTATCCTTGGGTCTTTGTTTATTTCCCTAAAATCAATTTCTCCGCAGGTTCTTGTCTCACAGAACACCTCTAGGTTTTGATCAGTATTTCCTTGCTGAAACTTCTTTTAGCTTCTATCTGCATACAAAAAAGCAACAAAACTGACTGTAATTATTTCCTGTAAAGCTCATTTAATAATATACAGGGGGATGCTAGATAGTGTTTTCAAAGAGTAAACTTGAAAAATTTTGAATTTGCCAATTTTCATCAGGAAATTCTCACAGAGATCTGTTGGGGATTGCAAGTAGAATTAATTGAGATTTATGCAGATCCCAACAACTATTTATGGCAGCCTTCCCTAACTTGAGGCAATCCATTTATGAGTATTGGCCATGCTGTATTAGCGTAACAGATTAGAAGAGGCTACCCTTTGTCAAAAACAGCAAATGTTGCAATCTGGACAAAAATCACATTAAATTCTGTTAATTCAAATGTGTATTTTCTGTTCTATATGGTCTTAATTTTGACAGATAGTATCTAACATAATCCAACTGTGAATGTCAGTATGTTAAAATACATACATTTTTTAAAAATGCTAAGAAGACAAGGTGGTTATTGGACTTGTGGATTCTGAGGATGCCTGCCATAGATGTGGGTGAAATGTCAGCAAAGAATGCTTCTGGCCATACACCCCAGAAAACTCACAGCCACCCAGTGATTCTAGCCATGAAAGTATTCGACAACACAATGACCTAATTCAATTTTGTAGCACTGTACCATCAAGTCATTTCCAACATTTGGCAACCCTAGTGACTCTATCACAGGGATTATCTTGGCAAGATTTGTTCAGAAGATGTTTGCACTGCCTTCATCTGAGAAAAAGTGGCTTGCATACAGACAATGGTTTGCATACATTAGAAAGTCTAGCTGAAGTCTATATTAGTCACACTTTCACCATCTTGACATGCTGTGCATTTGCTGAATTTCTGAGCTGGTCCCAAATATTTTATTGTCCCTGGTGGAAGATAAGATGGTATCTGATTTCACATCAGTAAGTGACAAGATTGAATACTGGCACTGCATATTCCTCCACGTCCAAAGACAAGGAACTAGTCTACAGGGAAAGGACTACGCCCTTATTGGACACAGAGCTCTGTCCTCCAAAAAAGGATGGAAGCTCAAGAGGAAAAAGCACTGCAGAGCTGTTGCAAGCCTCCAGCATTTGCCACCTGAGGTAGGCTCTTCACTCTGCCTAGTGGTAGGACCGGTCCTGTCTACCTCATATGAATAAGAATACCTGTATAATTATTTATACTCGAGGTGCACAATTTTCAGGGATAAGAGGATACAGTGACTCCAAAAGAAGACTCATCTCAACTGCCACCCAGAACATGGGAGTGACAATGTTACCAGCCTTTTCAACTCTGTCTGAGCAATTTAAGCCCAGGGGAGTCTTTTGAAAATACCAAAAATGAGCTGGCAAACCTCTGTTCATTCCCTGCTCTTAGCCACTTTCTCTTTATTTGCTTATCTTTCTAAGGGCTTCCCAATATTCCACCTTTCATTCATTAGTTGATCACTTATTTTCTGATGTCCTGAATATGTGCATATTTGAACACTTTACTCTGTGAATTGTTCCTGGACAGTACTAAATACCTGGATTGTGACCATACCTTGTTACCTATCATTTAAAAGCGCTAATTCTCACACTGTTATTAGTAATGAGCAAGGCTGCCTATGTGGTTATATACAAGCTAACTTTTTTTTGTCGTGTCAGGAGCAACTTGAGAGACTGCAAGTCGCTTCTGGTGTGAGAGAATTGGCCGTCTGGAAGGATGTTACCCAGGGGACGCCCAGATGATTTGATGTTTTTATCATCCTTCTGGGAGGCTTCTCTCATGTCCCCGCATGAGGAGCTGGAGCTGATAGAGGGAGCTAATCCGTCCTCTCCCCGGATTTGAACCTGCGACCTGTCGGTCTTCAGTCCTGCTGGCACAGGGGTTAACCCACTGTGCCACTGGCGGCTCCGGTGGCGCTAATGATGGCATCCCATGAGGATGGAGGGATGTCAGCAGAGTCGTATACAACACAATCAAAACTAATCAGATACACAGAACCCATGGATACAGAGGACCAATTGTACTTCAGGCCATCCCGAATCCCATTTTGGGAGAAAGACAGGATATACACAGGGATCTTGGTATACGCTGGGGTTTGGTTCCAAGATCCTCCTGGATATCAAAATCTGAGAATTTTAAAGTTTTGTGATAAACAATGGTGTAATAAAATGATGCTGCCTATATAAAATGGCAGAATCAAGGTTTGTTTATTGGAATTTGGGGGGGGGGGTTTGAGTGCAACTCATGGATGCAGAAT